TGGAACCCCTGGGTAGGATTTATAATGACTTAAATAAAACACAGCCTGGTTATCATGGCAAGAGGACAACATTGAGGAACAGAAGACCTATGTCTGAGTCCTGATTGATTTAAGGGCCAGCTTTATTGCTGAACCCTGTGCCTGGGTTTCTTCGTATGAAAACAGAGACATGACTGTCAGGAGCCGTATTTTCTTCAGAGACCCCTGCTGGAATGCTTTGCCCATGACTTAAATGGAGCCCCCCAGGTCACTGACTTCCTGCCATCTTAAACAAATGAAAGATTCATCCATCTACTGCCACCCAGTGACTCCACTTTATGGAGGGGAAACTGAGGCACAGAGTGATGAAGTCACATGCCCAAGGTCATGCAGCAGTGCATGACAGCTGGGTGAGAATAATTCAAGGTCAGGCCAGAGCACAATACACTATAGCCAACTTGCTTGATTTTTCCAAAGAGGTGATGAAACAGTTTACTACCCTCCATGTCTCCCCTGTTCCTTGTCCACCTGCTCTGGCCCCCACATCCTGCACCTCACACACCCAATGGAGCAGCCCCTTCAGACTCCAAATCATTACCACTCATGAGTGTCCACCATTTGCAGATCTGAGGTCCTTGGGGGCCCCTGTATGGGGAAGAACCGGGACATGGTGTGGACTAAAGGCAGTTTAAGTTTGCTTCTTCACCACCATGTGGAGAGGCTGGGAGACAGGCCACATGAACCTCATCTCTTCATGACCCATTTTGACTATGTTAAGAAAAGTGAAAATTTAAAATATGGTGAAATATACTACATTACAAAAAGATTTAGAATCGGAGTGACACATGGAAAAGACAGAGTGAAGGATGGGAGGAGAAGGACCTTGAGAATATCCATTTCACCTGCGAGTGAATTTTTCCTTATCATGTAGAACATTAGACAATTCTTTTTGTTTTAAATAAAACTGCTCATCTTAATTGGCTATGGAAGGGTAAAATTGGAAGGATGGACATTGATCCAAGAGGAGAGAGGAAAATTCTCACCCAACTCCTGGTCACCTTCCTGCCCCCTGTTCCACTCTGTGTTCTGGGTGAGCTGCTTGACTTTCCAGAACAGTTCTCAAAGTGAGGTCCATAGACAACTGGGGGGCTCTGACACCCTTTCAGGGGATCCTCAATGTCACCTTTGCAAAAGCAAAGGTCTGTAAAACTGCTGGGACCTTAGCACTAAACCGTCCCAGCCATCATTGTCTTCTTTACCATTGTGTACTCATAGGAAAAAAAAAAAAATACCAGTTCCATTTAAAAATGTCCTTGATAAAACAGTAAAAATTAATTTTATTAAAGTGAATACACATCGTTTTAACCTCTGGGTAATCGATAGTACATCTAAAGAACTGCTGCACATTAAGGTAGATTGGTTGTCCCAGGAAAAGCAGTTGTGCATTTGTGTGAGTTGCAAGCTAAACTAACCACTTTGTCCATGGACACCATTTTTACCTGCAAGAACAACAGACAAGTTGTTTGTTCAGACTTGGGTATCTGACAGGTATGTCCTCAAAAGTAAATGAGTCTGTCACTTCAAAGAAAACAACTTAGAGTGTTGCCAATGATAACATTTGAGCTTTCAAATGAAAATCTGAATTTTTTGAAAGTTTACTTCTGCCACTGTGAGCTTGATAGACTCCTAATACTTTCCTGGTGAAATTGGTGATGATAGTAACTAAGGTGATCATTTGATATTAGATGTTGAAATGTGTCAACATTTTGAAGCAATATTTTCCAAATGACTAATGCATGATGTTACAAAATCACACATGGGTAAAAGATCCATTCAAAGTGGACGACAGACCAGTGGAATTTATTATAATCATAGGAAAGTTTATTGATATGGTTTCAAATTCCAACTGCAATGAACTTTTAAGAAACTTCCATTTGCCAGGTTTGGTATAGTATGAAACAATATCCACAATTATCCCAAACATCTCCCAAATACTCCTCTGTTCCAATTACATATCTGTGTGAGACTTGATTTCCTTCAAAATATATCACAAGACAAAATGCAGAAGAAAATATAAGAACCCAGCTCCCTTCTTTTAAACCAGACATTAAAGGAATTTGAAAACATGTAAAACAATGCCACACTCACTTTTTTGGGAAAAGTTATTTTCTATAAAAGCATTAATGTTATTTTTAAAAGGAATTGTATTTTAAAATGTGTTCTAATTTCTAATACGGTGAACACTGATGACCAGTGGTGTTCTGGTAAATATTTAAGAACCAGCTCCCTGAGGGGGCTTGAGGGGAGCCCTAATTTGTAGTGTCTGCTGATTTTCATGGCGCACATACTCTCACCACAATCACATTCAAGATACAAACACATCACTGATGCAAAGTGGGAAAGGGACCTGTTCTCGCCAGCCCGTAGGCAGGGGCCTCCAGCACACCTGTGACATAACCCCCCTGTTTGTTGGTATCCTCACTAAATTTGAAGTGTCTTTGAGAACCTGTATCCCAGGACCACCACCCTCACCTCTAGTAAAGTCAGCTCAGCAATGTCAGGCATCCTGGAGAAAAGTCCCTGAACCTCAAAAACCCTACTGGGGTTCCTCACTGAAGCATCCTTACAATCTCTTCTGTTAGCTCTGCCAATCCCCTGGCAAAGACAAGACCCCTGGATCTTTCTATTCTAATCCCTTCCTAAAATATTTTTCGGTTGAAGGCAACACTTTTTGGGGGTTCCTTCAGGAAGAGCTCACAGCTGGGTTGCAGCTTGGTCACGATTTGCTGGGTGACCCCATGTGTAAAACCAGTTAAATGGAGATGTGATTCTCAATAGACTGAAAGCCGGGGGGTGGGGAAGTCGTGGACAATGGATCGGGCTTTGCTATCCTCACTCCGCCTCCCCTCCTCCCTCCCTGTTGGGGTGGGACGAAAGGAGGACCCTTACAAGGAGGCGTTTGTATAAACAAAATACTTTATTATTTGAGAAAGAAAAGGCCAGATTACAAAATCTTTATCCTTACGTCTGTTCATTACCACACCACAGGTTTATCATGGGCTTTAGTTTCTGTAACTATGAGGTTGAATCACATGAAACTGCCCAACTCTGTAGATAAAAAAAGTCAAATATTGGCAATTTCATGTGGTTCAACCCCATATAAAATGAGCCGATGGCTAAGATTCCCTTTGGCAGCAAGATGTTCCCAGTCACATGTCTGTGGATGTTATAAACAGATGTCTGAGTGATAAACATGTCCTGCTTGAGAAAAACGTCCTGCACTTAGACACTGGAAATGGTCTCGTGTAGGTACTGGGACCGAGTTCCCCAGCTCTGGCGCTGCTCTGCCCAGCTGGCCTTGTCACCCAGTCCCACAGCCTCATTAGACGGACGGACTCTTCTCTGGGGATGTCAGCCACGGCTCCGAGTGTCCCCTGCATTGCGAGGGAGGCCCATGCGGCCCTGAAACCACATTGGCTTGATCGTTTCCAAGCGCCCCGAATACATGCCCACCCAGGTGCTCCTTGGAAACAATCATGAAAGTCTCCATGGTGAGCAACACGTTTTTTTCACCTCAAATCCTCCAGCGGATTCTCTCTCCCATCTCTTGTCCTCTCTTTGCCTCTGGGCATTCTGCATCCACGAAAACAAGAACACGGAGCTTGGGCACTGAGCAGAAAGGAGCAGCATCGTGTCCAGATAGCCCACGACTCCACAGGGGAGGGAAAAGTTGTGTTTCGTTCACAACCTAGAGCCTTCGTGAAGATTCCCCCTCCCGTCCCCCACCTGCCCCGGGCTTCAGCTCAGTATGACCTGTTTAACTTCACACGGAGCTCAGATAAAAATAGAGCTTTCTTACAAATTACATTTTTTTCCAGTGAATTACTTCTGCAGTAAAAGCAGCTGCTACATAAATCCCTCCTGCTCTCTGCAAAGGAGCCACATGTTTCCAAAAATAGCATTCTTATTTTAATCATACAGAATAATTTGGGGCATGGAGGTGGAGCATGGGAAGGAAATGGCTGGTTGGGGAGGTTAGTTGTTGGGGAAACACAGTCGAACTAAAAAATAAAATCAGTCTTGTATGTATAAACGGATTTAAAGGCATGCACAGAAATGGAAAACATATGCCATTTGTCAAGAAAAATACTGCTTTATAGCTTTTACATTACGGTTAAGGAGAAAAGCAGAGGCTAGATGGGCCTCCAGATAATAACATTAAGTGTTTCATAAAAATTCCCAAATGTACAAAGTCCTTGCCAGATAATCAGCCAGGCAAAACAAAACAGAAATAGGGACTGACCCTCTTCGACGTCTACCTGTAGGCATAGTAAATGTAAATAATACACACTTTACAACTTCTTCGTCCACCGTGGCAGACCCCGTGTTCGCGGGACGCCACATGTGCTCTCGGAAACCGCAGTGAACACCGGACGTCTGCGTTCTTATTCCAAATACACTTACAGAATTATTTTAAATTACAATATACAGTTCTCGTTAAATAGGACTCTGAGAGGATTTTGACAACAATTAAGATTACAGTCATATATACAAATTAACTTCTGAAACGGCACGACTATCTCTGCACCCTCCGCCTCGTTGAACCAGAGACCGCTTCTGCCCTCGTGATTCCTGATGGCCAAAGGCAAAAGAAAATGGGGAAAAAAAAAAAAAAGTGTGTGCCCGAGACATGCTTGCTCCTTGGAGAATATCCAACGGCCTGAACGTTCCTGTCCCATGGCCTGCTCGGAGCCAGGATGGCTTCCCAGAGCTTCTTTCTTGGCCATTCTAATGTAATAGCATCATAAATAGCGTGTTCCTGTCAGCAGGCTTTAGAAGTGAGAAACCACGCCGCTTTGGGTGAAAAGCCGCGGTTTCCGGTGAAATAAGGCCACTGCTTCTTGGGGAGTCCCCTGGATGCGTTCGATCCCGCCTTTCAGGGTCCCTGGAGCAGTCGGTCGCATGGCCGCACTCACAGTCCCACACGGGCCGGGCCGGCTCAGCTCGGGGCCCCGCGGGCCTCAGTCCTCCGTGTCCGGCTGGACGCCCAGGATGGCGTGCAGTTCCTCGGGGGTGAACCCCAGCAAGTTCTGCAGGTCGCACACAAAGCGGTACACGTAGCGCTTCCCCGACGTCTTGTGGATGATGTTCTTGTCGTAGTAATAGCGCAAGCCCCTGCTCAGCTTCTCGTAGTTCATCTTGGGCTTGTTTTTCCTCTTTCCCCACCGGCGGGCCACCTGTAGCGGACACGGGTGAAAAGAGTTCAAATCTGCAATTTTCCTTACTCGCAATTAAGGAAAAGTGAATGACTTGCCCCTGGGGAGGAGTCTCACGCTGCTTCCCCAGAGAACTTGACCACTACAGAAGGGCCCCAGCGGTGGGTCTGCTTCAGCACCTGTGTCTCTGAGGAAGGAGGCAGGTGCAGGTGGGAGAGTGAACCCACCCCCTGCACCAACCACACCGTCTCATGCAGCAAGGCTTCGTGCTGGAGCCAACTGTTCCCAACCGGGTGGGCCTGACACAAGGAAAATGCTGTGTCCCCCCACCTCCCGGCTTCTTATTCCACGCCCCACAGTCAACAGCTGCTGGGTGCGACTCTGAGCCATGTGACATTCTGCATTCCTCAACGCTTCTGCCTCCTCAGGGAATCGGGGCGGCGCCAGCTTGCACTCTAAGGCTGCCTGAGACCCCGAGGGTTCTCTGATGCTGTCTTGGAGGGGAGGGTCTCGGATCTGCCCTCGGCCTTCCCCTCTGGGGTTTCCGAGTGCCTGAGCTGAGCGTGGCAAAGCTGCAAGGGCCAGAAGTCCAGCCCGGGCTGCGGGAGGCTCAGTCCCCAACAGTGGAAAAAAGCACATTTCCTACGGCATTTCAGATGGTCAGGAAAGACCCTCAGCTTAGCACCTGTGCCTTTTTATCAGATGAGAGAGCAACTCTCAGAAGCCTGCCCCGTGCCCAAGAGCACACCCACAGAACACTAGAACTCATTGCAGTAGTGAACACTTCCTTGGGCCCAGAGGATCGAGTTTATGAGCCCAGAGTGATGAAATCAGGGTTCAAAGCCCAGAGACTGACTTCCCAAGCTCTGGCTGTACCTCGTCAGGGTCCGCGAGTTTGAACTCCCAGCCGTCTCCAGTCCAGCTGATGAAGGGCTGGCAGGATTTGTCCGAGAGCAATTCCAGGAGAAACTGCCACAGCTGAATAGGTCCGCTTCCTGGGGGAAAGGGGCAAGTTGTACGTTTTTATAGATTTAAAGTACGACAAGGCTTTAGTCCTTTCTAATGAAATAGACTGACTGAGGAATGGGAGCCCCGACTCTGGGCGGGGTGTCAAATCCAAGTGTGGAGACAGGACTGACCCCTTCAATGGCATGAGGCTAGACACCCAATCTGGGGTCTCCCCTCTCCCCGTCCTGAAAAAGGGGGCACTACGCCCTTGGTAGCTGAGTTGGGTCTTTCTGGAAGAAAATTCAGGGCCACCAACTCTTGACATTAAAATTCCTCATCTTGGAGGGGCCCAGCTGGCTCAGTCAGTGGAGCAGGTGAGTCTCGATCTCAGGGTTGTGAGTTCGAGCCCCACGGTGGGTTTAGAGATTACTTAAAAATAAAATCTTAAAAAAAAAAATTCCTCATCCTGTTTAATTGTTCCTTATGTAATAAGTTTCAGGGTTCATTTCTAGAACCACCCAGTAGGACAGGGGTGCGGGTGGTTGAAGGGGCATTTCACCACAGAATGAGGCATGTCTCATGGAATCCTAAACTACAGCTTCCCTGCCAAATGACGGTGGGTAAATTGCTTAATCCAAGACTTGGTTTACTCAATAGCCACTTGGGCATTTAGGGTTGTCTCCATGGCCTCATTGCCTCTGGTGAGGTACGCTTTGCTTTTCATATACCGTTCCTGAATTAATATTTAGAACCACCATCTTCTGAAGAACTCTTTTTAAAGATGAGGAGCAGCTCAGAGGCAAGGTGCCCCACCCTAGATCACACACCCACCAGAGTTGTTCCTCAAGACCCAATGGCCATCAGCAATAAGGCTATAAAGCACCAAGGATGGGAGTTCTGGAACCAGACACAACCAGGTTACCTGTGTGACCATGGAGAGCTGTCTACCTCTGAGCCAAATGTACCATCTGTCAAACAGGTGAACGCCCCACCACCCCCCGGCTGTCTCAAGGACCACCAACTATATATATGCCTAGTTAGCCACACAGAGATGACACTCAACAAATGGTAACTAATATTAAAATTGAAAACACCAAGGGGCGTCTGGGTGGCTCAGTCAGTTGAACGTCTGAGCCCTGATTTTGGCTCAGCTCATGATCTCACGGTCGTGAGATTGAGCCCCGTGTCGTGATCTGTGCTCAGCGGGGAGTCTGCTTAGTGTTCTCTTTCTCCCTGTCCCTCTGCCCCCCTGCCTCCCACTTGCATATACTCACGTGCTTCTCTTTCTCTCAAAGTAATTAACTAATTTAAAACATTTTTAAAAAATGAGAGACAAGACCATTCCTGTGGATGACAGAAAAGAAAAAAATGGATGCTTCTGTATTCTTATTTTAACCTATTGAATATTTTAAGTAGGCATTTTTTTTTTAATCCAGTGGCTCCATATGGTCAAAGTATGAAAAACACATTTAAGGACCCATGAAGCAATGAAAAAAAAAATCTTGGTGTTTTCGCTAAAGTACTGGAAATATTTGGTTCTAAAAACGGCTTTATTATTTGTCCCTCGCCTAAAATAGCTCTCGCCCAAATTTTAAAAATAAGATGGATTTTTAGAAGCAAGCAAAGGTAAACAGTCCGTGTGCTGTCTGAAGCTGGCTCTGCCGTCCCTCCCTGGGCAAGTTTACATTCTTTGGGATTCCTGGAGTGGGTGAGTCAGAGCTGAGGCCTCCACAGGTCCATGGCCTCCGCGTCTGCTCCTCTCCAGGCTGGCCGAGCACATCCCAGGTGAGGGGGCGGGCTGTGGATTCCCATCCACACCACTGGGCATGACGGTTCGTGTGAGCTTGGCCTTTTTAGAATTCAGGGGTATAGCCTGCCTGATTCAGGATGACAGCCACGCACCAAGTGTGGGCTGTAGCTACAATGTGCTCAGACCAGAAACACCCTGGAGGAACCTGGCGCTGGGGCCGGGCCGCGGGGAGGAGACGGGGAGGGTCGGCGTGACACACTCACCCGTGAAGCCGGCCAGCACTGCCGCGGGTATAACCGGTTTGCCCTGCTCCACTGGGTCGCTCCTCTCCTGGATGTAGTCCTTGAAGGACATGGTCGGCTTATTGAGGCACAGGGACTGGCTGCAGTCATCCTCGAAGCTCTCGAAGGACGGCACCCGCTGCACATCCAGCAGCGACGACTGGCTGTTCCAGGACTGCAGCAGGGAGTCTGAGCTCTCGAAGCTGTCCGTGCCGTTCTTGGGGGAGTCGCGGTCCCGGGGCTTCCCTGGCAAAGACAGCCGGGCACAAACGCTGACTCCTCCAGGACAGCGAACCGTCCGGTGCTGCCGAGCGGTGGGGGGGGGGGGGGGGGGGGAGGGGTGGTCCCACAGGCTGGTCTGGGGGCTGCAACACCCCCATCACTCCACCTATAGCCTGCTGGTGCAGAGTCCCAGACTTCTCGCCAGGCACTCATTTCTTACAACAGATGCCCTATGCAACCACATCCTCCATCTGCAGCAGCATGGGTGGGTCAAGTGCACCTTCGAGGGATGGAGAATTATACAGCGATGAAAAGAGCAACGGTCTGCCCCATCCAACAGCGTTGCTGGGTCTCAGACATAAGGAGGAGCAAAACACCAACACAAAAGAAAATGTAACACTAGGATTCTGTTTCTATGAAGCTCAAGGGCAGGAAAAACTCATCTCTGAGGACAAAAGTCAAGATAGTGGTTTCCTCTTGGTGTGGGGATGCTACTGACTGCAGGAATGTCATGTTCCTGCGTCTTCTCCCAAAATACCCCACCGGGTGGAGGAATCCAGCTGTGAGAGCAGGGGCCCTGTCTCATTTACTCGGTACCCACAGTGCCCAGCTGGGAGCCTGAAACACAGCGGGAGCCCACACGTGCTGAGCAAAGCCGTCCCCTGCGGAGACAGTGCCGGACGGCCACTCAGGATGCAGACTGTGTCTCCGTCTGCCTGTGGCTCCTGGAATCCAACCACCGGCCCTGCGGACGGAGCCTGCGGGAGTTCCGACTTACCAGAACCACCGGCGAGCAGATTCAAGCTCCTGCTCGGGAAGTCCTGACTGATGGGACAATAGTTGACGCTGACGGTGTTGAGTCGAGACTTGGGCAGCATCTGAAACTCCTGCTCAGAACCGAGCACACTGGGCGCCGAGGAGGATGGACACACGTCTAGGAGGCTGCCTTTGGGGTAATTCTGGGTCTGCACGCCATACGCTGCCTGCTCCACACCAAAGCCTGGGACAGAACAATCGGACAGCAGAGCTATGAGGCAGGAGTGGTGGGGTCATCAGAGACCCTCTGCGCCCTCAACCTGAATCAAATGCAACCAGTTCTACATACTCTAACCCTCCCCAAAACCGCGGTGGAAAGTGGGCTTTGCAGGCGGCTTTTCCGCTACCTCCTCTTCACAAACCATTCATGCTCTCAGCCAATAAGCCCCCTTCCAAAACGCCTGCTGCCTCGGAGCCAAAATGCGACACCTCAATGTTAGCATCTATCTCTATGGCTCTAGTTTAGCAAACGCCTTCACGTGACTCTCGGAATGGCAGAGGTCACTGGCTCATTCAGCTTCCCAGGGCGGTAAGCCTCAGAGAGACGGAGTGATTTGCCACCCAGTATATGACTTGTAAGGGAACAGTCCCTCCCTCTGCTGGCTAGCGGGACGCCCCGTAACCTATACTCATCAGTGTCAGTGACCAGAAGGAAAGACCCCAAAGATCAGAGCAAATTTAGAATTGCTTTCTACATGCCTCCTGTGCCTGGCACCCCTTATTATGCTTAGCTCTGACAGCAGCTAATCAGCTCGCTTCATTCCACCCCATGCTCTGTTCCCTGCCTTAGGCGGCACTGGCCAATGCACAGATAACACCAGCCACGTAGGCAACATTACATTTTCTAGTAGCCCCAGGAGCAAACTAAAAAGAACCAGGTGAAAAGAATTTTAATAGTTGACCTGACCCAATATTACCAATTATCATTTTAACATGTAATCAGTCTCTTAAAAATTATTAAGGAGACATTTTACATTCTTTGTTCCATTAAGCTTTTCAGAGCCAGTGCACATTATATTCTTACCACACGTCTCAATGTGGACCAGCCACATTTCAAGTGCTCAGCAGCTCAGCGGCCACGTGTGGTCACCCAATGGGACAGCGCAGGCTGAGACTGGCCTTTGGACCTCCAGCAAGTTTATTTTTATTTTATTTATTTTTTGGGGGGGTGGGAGTCCCAATTTAATAGAAAAAGTTAACACCAAGGTCTTCAGGGCAGAAGTGACTGGACTGACCTAGTGAATTGCTATTAATCCAATGAGGGACTGAGTTGAGGTGTGAATTTTCTTCATACTGATCTTCCGTCTTTTCTTGGTTTTCTGGAAGACACCGGAGACATAGGATTGCAAATCAAGGTTAAAACTATGCAAGATAAAACGTTTATTTCTAAATTACTGCTATCTGTTTATTTTAGGATAACTAAATGCATTTACACTTCACATTTAAGCTGACGGTATTCGGTGTCATTGGTCTTTTTTTTTTTTTTTTTAAGACTTTATTTATTTATTTGACAGAGAGGGACAGAGCCAGAGAAGGAACACAAGCATTGGGAGAGAGGGAGAGGGAGAAGCAGGCTTGCCGCAGAGCAGGGAGCCCGATGCGGGGCTCAATCCCAGGACCCTGGGATCATGACCTGAGCTGAAGGCAGATGCTTAACCAACTGAGCCACCCAGGCGCCCCAACATTTGGTCTTTTTCAAAAACTGGAGTTGGCAACGTATTTCCTAATAACCAGAGTAAGTTTTCCAAAATGAATGCTGTCACTGGCCAAGTGAAATGTTCTACTGCATAATTTTAAATATCTAGACTGTGAATTTAATTTATCTGTGCCGTCAACAGACACTTAAATATTTATGAAGTGCCGCTTGTCTCAGGGGCTGGGAATACAGTGGGTTAGTAAAGCAGACCCAGCTCCTCCCCTCTTGAGGTTATGGTTTGTGGCTTCAAGCCCCTCATTTCTCCAGGGTGAGGTGAGTACGGCACAGAGAGAGGCAAGCAGTGCTGTGGGAACCTGAAGGGGGCCCCGGTGCCCTGGGACTTCGAAAAGGAAAAGGTTAGCATTCTGTGTGCTTACTTCCTACAAACACACTGAGTCACACGCACCCACAAATCCAGACCCTCAGACTTACACTCAGGGTGACCACAAAACAGGCCCAACCTGCCAGTGAACAGATTCACCAGAAACTTGTCCAATCAGACTTGTCCAAATTCAGGGAGAATTTGGGGGTCTCCAAACTTAAGTTTCCTTGGCCCCCAGAAGCCACAGCTGAAAGAGAGGGTGGCTGAACCCTAAGGTCTTTTAAAGATTCTGAGTCTGTAAACGGTGTTGAAACTCAGTGTTTAAAACCAAGTGAACGAGCACTATTGCTCGGAACTCGACCAAAGAACTAATCTTCTCATGTTTTTAACCTAACCCCTCACTATAATTTTTTTTTCCTTTTTAACTGGATGTATTTTTTTTAGCACTGCTGTCAACACTCTTTTAAGGTCTAAACCAAGACCTTCTATATGATGAGAGTTCTTTTGTTCAATGGCCGGTTTCTGTATAGTGTCAGTGTATAAATATGTATCAATTACTTCTGCATTCGTTTAAATACATAAAACCAGAAGAAATTCTTGTTGTTGGATTCCATTTGGTTTTAGGAAAATTCACTGTAAAATTCACGGGGTTTGTCTGAATAAAAAGGCTCCCCTTCATTGAGGCTGACTTTCTTCTTTGGGTTCTATAAGGTGAGCCACCAAAACACAGGACTTCTTGCTGGCCTCCATTATCTGAGGCAACATGTACTCGCCTGACGCATGCCATCAGATCACCGTCAACAAGGTAGTGACTAAGGTTACTGCTTTGTGGCTATCCTTGATGCCACACACACACACACACACACACACACACACAGACTTTAGTGGATTAAAAAACCTATAATCACTGCCACACATTTGACTCACCCCGGTGGCATTTTCTGGCAATTTACTTTACATAATTTGAAACCCCCACTGTAGGATTACAGAGCCCCGATGCCCCCATCTCCCTTCCCTGCCGTGGCTCTCCCCAGTGGGGAGGCGCCCAATCCCTCAGCGGGTACCTTTGATCATCTGCTCCAGATGCTCCCAGAGAATGTCGCCCACGAAATCCGGAGCCAGCTCCAGAAAGCGCTCCTTGCCCAGGTTGCACAGCACCTGGCCATTCATGCCGAACCTCTGGAAATTGACGTTCACCAGGCTGAACTCATTGGTGGCCCAGAGAAGCCACTGGCACACTTGCTGCTCAGTCCACAGCCAGGGGTCTGCAGGGAGGGAAGCAAAGACGGACACAGGGAGAAAATGGGAGGAGGCGGTCAGACAGGAGTCACTCCTGATCGACCCACAAAGTCCAGATGTGTTCCAGAGACTGGCCAAAGGAGCAAGCCACCCAGGGGGATTCTAAGACCCCAACAACAGTGCTGGGTTAAAAAGTCATCTCAAGCAACCGCAGTCAGATTTGTTGTTTGAGTACAACGCGGACTCAGAGAAAGGACTAGAACGCACTTACTCTTTGGGATGCCAAGGCGGCGCTGCTCCTTCTTAAAGCCACTGAAGGTAGCTTTTAAGGCTTGACTCATGACAGCCTTGCTGCACGGAGTTAACAGAGGCAATTCACAGTTGGCAGAGTCTAGAAAGAAACCCCATGGGGACATTAGGACTTCAAGCTGGCAAGACCAGATAGAGAATTTAGGGGAGACATCTTAGTTTTCAGGAAGGAACAATTTCAATTGCAAACCTTGACAGTATTCCTTAGAAGAGTAGAACTATTAACAAAAATTGGGGGAGGGCAGCAGAAATTGAGAAAGTATTATACATCTCATAACCACACTTATAAAAAAATCTAAAATAAAACTCAAGCTTTATTTTGCAAATTATTTTGCAAAACTCCATTAAAAAAACCCAATTATCTTCAGTTGAAATTTCTACTTAAGTCTCTTTTAAAATTTTTAGACAATGAAAGAAAGCACATGGTTTTGGTCAAAAGTTTTAAGGGAGGCAAATGCACAGTTTGACGTTTCTGCCATTACAGCAAGCAGCAGGCAAAGGGACTTCCTAGCACCTGTAAAGTCGGCACATCTGCAATTTTTAATGAAAAGCAATCTCTGGATTCCCTCAGCAATTTCAAGAATGATAAATGACCGGCTCAGGATGGCATGCTTATGCAAGCCTATGTGTTTTAATTAATTTTCCGGGCTGTGTTTTCTAGGCACCTACTTCATGTGACGAAGTAATCTCTGGAATGTTTCCAACTAATAACCCTATCACAGTAATTGTATAGGCATTATCTGACTGTTATCCCTTTAAAAAATAATAAACAATGACATTAAGAACTACAGAAGTAAATGCAGATGGGCAAATATTAGCAAGTATAATTTGTTGCCCCAAGACTCCGGGGTAGGCGATGATCTAACTAATAATGAGACCCCAGAATGAGAAGCTGGAGGGCACTTTCATGGTCTGCTTTGTAGGTGCCCCTGGAAGATGGGGCCCGGGCTTGCTACAGTGATGAGAGCATCCCACTGGAAATCTCAGGAGCTCCCCGGCAGTCTGGGTGCATCTGGCAGCAGACAACATCAGGAACCTCATGCTCATAAAGAAGGAAAACTGTCTTCTCCCAGGTTCAGAGCCACCATCTGACTTTTCAAACCAAACATTCAAGACACCAACCTTTGTCGCTTACCAACGATCATCTTTTTAGTAACTGAACTACGAGAAATCATGCACAACTGGTCAAGTCTGAGTAACAAATTACCATGAGAAATGGAATCCAAGCCTGTTGGCACTTCTTGGAGTGTTTGCTCTTCACTGAGAGAGGGAAAAACAGCAAACAGGGACCCATCAAAGGTGTCAAAAGCTGGCTGGCGCTGCGAAACAGATGGAAAAGGAGACTGAAATTAATATTTAAACTTACTTACCTGTTTGAAAAGTGGTCCATGAGTCATCTTACTGATACACCCTCATGAAACTGGCAATTATAAAGCCATAAAAGGAACTGACCAGTCAATGCTCTGACCAGACTTCTACAGTCAAAGTGATGGAAAGGATTCTATTTTACTCTGGATCATTGCTTCCACCTCACGGAGTCAGAATGACTGGGAATTTCTTTTTAATGGCCTAATTTCAATGAATAAACTAAGTAAACAAACCTAAAAATAATGGAAATTTAGAAGAACAGTGCTGGGTGGGGCTTACAGACCAGCTGGTCCAAACACCTGGCCCCTTTGCCCCATCAGAGGGAAACTGAGTCAGACCCTCAGCAGAACAGTTTTAGCTCACCGCAGTAAAGCAAAAGCAGATGACTGAATGCAACTTGGAAAACAGTGAGCTCAACTATTTGTGGAAGCATTTATTTTTATGTTTAACCACGAAACGCTTTAATTAAAACTAGATTTTCTTTCCCTCTCATCAATTCCAATGGTTCAGAAGATAGTAATACATATGAAAACATTCCTTACGGTTTAATTTTACAAAAGTAAAGGTTTTGAAAAAGATCCCTGCCCCCCATCATCAACTAAGGAGAAAGATTTCCAAAGGAAAAAAGGTTTCAAGTAAAACTATGTACAGCTTAGGGGGAGGAAGACAACAGAGACACAGAGAAAGATAAACCCCACAACCCAGCGGCGATCTCTGATAATTCATCTAACCTTTACGAAAGAGATCGTCTTTAGTGTAAGACCTGTTTATAAGTAACAGATAAAGTCTTGATTCATCTCTGCCTGACTTGCTGAGGAACAACGTAAAAGATGGTTATATTTTTCCAACATAAAGTGGAAAGCCCATGTTATGTGTAATACAATGACCCATCTGTTGAGTCATCAATTAAAAAAATGTGCAACACATTTACAAATAAAATCGGTTTGTGTGCTTTCTTCTTAGAAATGCAGAACAATGCATGACACATTACGTAAGAAGGCAGGCAGAAGTTGGGACTCCGCCGAAAACACTCAAGACAATGATGTCCCAATGATGTTGGAGCCCAGCCCCACCCCCATCCCCCCCCACCGCCGCCCCAAAGCCCAAGACAATAATGTCCACCTGCCAAAACCTTAAGGAAAAAGACAATCAAGTTGGAAATCTGCATCTAGATGTATAAACTGCCTCAGGGCTAATTTTGATGACAGAGCCAATCAGTTTTTAAAATTCCCACTAGCATTTCCCCGGGTGACCAAGGAAATGCCTCACCTTTCCTGACTGGAAGTTCTTTTTTTAAAATCAGGAAGCCAAAAGACAATACAAATTTGCACTAAGTATTTCAACACATCAATTTCAGCAACGACTGTTTCTTCTCCAAACCCAAAAATCACATGGGCATCATCAAATCCTTTCTAACTTATAGAAGAATTTTTCTTCCCAGGGGTGTGGCTGCAAACATAGTACCGCAATTTCTTGTACAGTTTCTGCCACGCTGAAAACATCTGACCAAATCAAACCAGAAAACTCGCTGGTTTGAAGTCTCATGACCTTCATGATACTCAAGAAGAGCCTGGGCCCATTTTTGGCTCTTTGGGCTCTCCCAGACAAATAACCTGCTAAGGATTTATAAAGGAAAATATAACAGGACAGAGATACATCACTATATAAGCCTGGAGGAGGCCAATCTAAAATCGCACTCTGAAATGTGTTTACTACACGATGCTAAGAAAACAATCCAATCTCGCTGTCACATTTGGAGAAGGCAAAGGGGAAATGATCAGTTTGTGCTACTCGAGAACGTTCTCAAAAGGAACTGAGATAGAAGCTATGTGAAATTTGGTTATTATGCACCGTTAAAGGCTCCTTCATCATTCATCTGTGTTCGGTTTACGCCAACAGGCATGCTGTTCTCTGTGGCAGGGACGACAGGCTGCTTGCAGCCCCGTGGGCACTGGCCCTTCTGAAGGGAAGAAGCCCCCACAGCGGCGCTGGTCTTCCACCTCTCAGCTCTTTCCTTTCCAGTTCTTCAACACCCAGCCCATCGTCCTGGGAAAACCCATGGGGGAACAGAAGGGCAGTGGAGATAGCTTCTCCAGCTCTGTCCTACTGAGAATCATGGGATTTTTCACCTGCCAGGAGTCTCAGAAATAAACCACAAAGGCCTCCCCATCTGCAAATTAAATGGTTTCATATCTTGGAAGACAAGTAGAATGAGCATCAGGAGATCCATTTTATAGACTAGAAAACTGAGGCCCAGAGAGATTAAGCAAACAATCAAGAGTCACACAGCGCGTAAACTAAAAGGCTGGGGCTAGAAACAGTCTTTTAGGACCCAGCAGGTGGTTTTTCCTCCTAGAGACTGAGTTTCTCAATGTTTTCTAAAAACTTTTAAATTAAGACTTGCTCTCTTACCTTCAGTGTCCCTCTGTAACTGTTAGACACAGGGGCTACCTGGTCCATGTTCTTGATTCCAAAGTCATTCATCTTAAAAAAAAAGGAAAAGACATAAAGAAAGAGTCACAGGGGCAACAAATCACACACATTTCTAGTAAGTCTTTATTGGCTCCATCAACCCTAATTCTGGCGGAGTCTGTCAAGGTCTACAGCAAGACAGGTCCTTCAAACCTGAATGCTAGTTCTTAACGTTTTAGGCCCTTCTCACAAAGGGTATGCTATTTAAGTAATTAAATAATAATGCTGATTCTCTCCTGAATTCTACTTAGAGATGAAGCACACAGATAAAGTCACTTTCTGACTGGCTGGTCAGGCAGGGCCTCCCAAGGGAGCCTGGCTGGGGGAGCTGAGCCAGGAGGACCTTGTCTTTCCATGACAGGAGCAGGGTGAGCTTTGGCTCAGGGTGCAGGACACCCTCGGGGGGGGGGGGGGGGAGTTGCTGGGCAGGCACTGGCCACCTCCCGTTTGCTGTGGGGGGGTGGTAGGGGGAAGAAGAGGCAGTCAGCTCAACCTGGGAACTCCTGGTGGATCCAGATCCAAGGTCAGGACGCTGGAAAGAGCCTCCGAGGTCCTAGCCTCTCCCTAAGCTGTGAGAAAGCCCTCCCAGAAGGACAGAAAAGGTTCCCAGAACTACTGCTTCAGGCCAAACCCCCTGCACTGTCCCAAACCCTCCTGTGTGGACTACACAAACTCGAAATAGGTCTGCTGTGTGTGTTGCTCAGCTGTGCATTTCTTCAAGGGCAAGTAATGCTGATCACAGAGCAGTCGTACTTGCTTTGATAGAGTCTGGGCTTCTACTAGACAGACCTGCGCTGACCAATGTGGTAGCCACCGGCCACTTGCGGCTACCAAGCACTTGGCACATGACTAAGATGCGCTGAGATGAGCTCCGCATGTAAAATACACAAGATTTCAAAGGTCGTGTAAAAAAAAGTAAAGTATCTCAGTCATGACTTTATATTTACTGCATGTTTATATAATATTCCGAATGTATTCCGTTAATTGAAATATATGGAAATTAACTTCACTTACTTTCCTATATTGAGTGTAGAAATCTTATAGTTTTTACATGGCTTGCAATCGGACACTGCTGGAGACAGAAAACTGAACTTGGAGCCCTAACATAGGGCTGGCCGGGTAAGTTCTATATTAATAAGTAAGAAAGGTACCAAGATAATGCCACCAGAGTGGTATATGAAAATACAGAGCAACTAAAACTAAAACTCATCTTCAAAGAAGCTGGGCTAGCATCAGTGACAGTAACCTTTACCCCATGGGGCATGCCTCACCCCCAGCCTCCCGGCTTTGAAACCGAAGGGTCTATGGGCAGCTTTACAAGGCCCCCCTCATTGTCTTCCCCCATAATCTACCCTGGGCGCTGCCACCTGTTACAACCAGGAACTCTGAGTAATTAAAATATTGTGCAATTGATAGGGCTTACTGGAGGTGGCAAGTAGGACATTTCCCCATGACTCCTTTGAGTTTGTACTTTGTTTTCTCTTTATGATCAACATTATGGCTAAACCTGACCTCCCAACTACTACACACACATACACACACACACACAGATATATATATATATATATATACATATATATATATATATATATACACCCCTGGCTAGAGAGGCAGCGTGGGAGGAGAGTCTACCACACAGAGCAGGCAAGAGGCACTGGGGAAGGTTGTTAAAACCCTCAGAGTGCGAGTAATTATCAGGGTGGCCAGTGAAGGCTGGAGAACACTGACATAAATTAATCATCCTGTGGGGCAGGAGGGGAGCAGAGGAAGGGTTGTCCTGGATCCAAAGTGGCCCCATTGGCTCAGAATCTCCACTTAGTGGATCATGTCATCCACGTGCACTCAGGAATCAATATTCTGATTCCTGAACGGACAGGATCCTACTGACAAGAGCTAAGCCCATGCTGGGCGACCACACATTCCCACTTCACTGAATCTTCCTGGCATTTCTGAGAGATGGATGTTGTAACATTTTACAGTGATGTTGCATCTTACAGGGCAAGGGAGGCCCAGAGACCTCCGATGACTTGCCCAGGATCACAGAGCTACTGCAGGGCTAACTAAGGGGGCACAGTGCGGATCAATCCCAGTGGAGCTGCTCCATGGGAAGGTAACCGGGATGATGACGCATGGGCCTTCTCCCACCACATCACCATGGAGTGAAGAGCGCATACAAATATTATTAGACCATGGCCCAGCTCACCACTCTTTACTATGGGACATGCTCCTTAAGTCTGAGCTTCATGAACTAAATCCTGTTACCTGTTGATTAAATAAACCTCAAACAGGAGACCCACATAAAAAGACATCTTAACTGTTACCAATGATCCCTCCTGAGCCCACTAGGTCAGCTCTTTTTCTAAGTCTGGTTTCCCGACAACTTGCTGACTTTGGTGTACATTTTTTCAGCCTCACAGAGATGGACAGAGTATTGGTATGGAAGGCAATGGGTAAAGCTCTCCTGGTTTTTGGGTATAAGTACCAGGAGAAAAGGCAGTCTACCACTCCCGCATAAAGAGCTCTAATTACTAGCTACAGAATAGAATTCTTTTGTTATCCAGCTTTTAATTTGTTTTGTAAAAACCATGTGGAATCAGAGTACCCTTCCACCTGGGTTTCAGGCAGACACATAACTAATGAAATTGAAGTTCACTCATTTTACTCCACAAAGCTTGTTAAGGTGGCAGACAGGTCAAGTTTCTCTACCCAAATCGATTTCAAATTTAGGTCCTGGCGGTGTTGCCCTATTGATTGCTGCTTCTGAACAACAACAAAAAGAAAACCTGGCAGAAATGTGTGAGCTAAAGATAGCAAAATTTTAAACAAAGAGGATTTGCCGAACTTCCTGGAAGGAGTGATCCTTTCTGTTAGAGATCAGAGCACAGGTTTGTATTTAGGTAAATTAGAAAAACAAAAGCAAAAACAAACTCATTTGCCATTTGCTCTTTCTTTTGGAAAGTTATCAGTTTAGAGAGAGGAATGACTAACCCCAGAAATGAGTGAATATTTCCCTGCAGGGCCCACAGTGCTAACATTTACTGTACTATGATACTACTCAGAATTTTAATAAACCTTAACTTGGAGATTTATCTCCCTGATTGGTGGTGCTGTGGACAGGCAGATAGCGCACGGACGCCTCCATTGTCCAGGACAAACATAACCTCTTCCTGGTGAATTAAAATAAATTACCTCTAACTCCAAAGGGGACTGCTCATTTCTCTACTTTCTAAATAAGTAGCTCGTCACTACCAGTTTAAGCTACCCTGAAACTGAATACAGGCCAGTATTTTAGAAGTCTCCTGTGCTTAAAAAAAAAAAAAAAAGAAAAAGAAAAAAAATCCAAAACAAAACCAAAAAACCCATATACTTAGAAACGTTAACTTTTCATTCAAAATCCTTCAAGAACGCGAAAATAAAGGCAGCACTGACACCCACGCCCGCATTTCCGACAGGCTCCCACGCTCCCCTCGCCGCACCGAGGACCCCCGATCCAGAGGTCCCGGGGCGCCCGTGGGGGTCTCGCCCTCCCGGAGCCTCCCTCTTCCGCCAACCCCTGGCCGGGCCCCGGAGTGGCCGAGCACGTTTTCGGGGAGCTGCAGCCTCCAGGTGTTTTAGGCGCCGGGCGCCCCCGATCCTACCGGACCCGGCGCGCTCGGGTAAGTCACCCGCGAAGCCGGGCGCGCCGGGGCCCCTCCGATACCCCCCGCTGCGTCCCCCCGCCGCGAAATCAGCCCGCGGGGCGCCCTCTGCAAGAAGCCCCCCACCAGACCCGCATTTCCTTTTAAAAACAAAAGCCAGTGAAACAGGCGGGCGCGCCCTGCCCGGCCGCTCGGTCACCCGCGGCCGCTGCCCAAGTTCGAAGCCTGCTCGGCGCGTCACGGCCGGGCCCACTGGCGCTCTGCCCCCGTCCCCCGCCCCCGAGCCGCCCCCGAGCCGCCCCGGCACCCGGAGCGAGCCCAAAGCCGGGGAACAGTCGCCGCCCCGCCGCGGTCCCGGCTGCGCCTCGGGATCCGGACCTCGGGGCTACACACGTCCCCCGCCCGGGGTCTGGGGTCCCCGGGAGAGGAGCCGCGCCGGAGGGCGCCCTCCCGGACCCCCGGCCCGCCAGCCCGCGCGCCCCGGGCCCCGCTCTTACCGCGCCGCTTCGGGCAGGGCCGGCGGCGGCTCCGGGCCGGGCTCCGCGGTGCGCGTCGGACGCAGACGAGGGCGGCGGGGCTGGGGGGCCTGGCCGCGGGCACCTGGGCGGGGGGCCGGGAGCCGGGAAGCTGGCCGGGGGCAGGCAGGCGGCTCCGGGAGCTCGAGGATGGGGCCGCACCGCGTTCTGTGCCGCCACCGGAGGAAGTAACCGGCCAGTCCCCTTCGCGGCGCGCTCTTCAGAGCGGGGGGAGGAGGGAGGAGGGAGGAAAGACGACAGAGGGGAGGGGAGGAGGGGCAAGGGGGAGGGGAAAAGAGAGAGGAGGGGAGAAGATGGGAGGAGGAGAGAGGGGAGGGGTGGAGGAGAGGGGAAGGAAAGAGCTGAGAAGGGGTGGAGGAGGGGAGGGAAGGGGAGGGAGAGCGCAGAGGAGGGGAGAGGAGGGAGGGGAGGGAGGGAAGAGAGGAGGAGTGAGACTAGAAGGGAGGGGAGCGGGGGCGGAGCCGGCTCCTTCCGGCCGGGTCCTCGCTCCGCGCCCGCTGTCACCTGGCTCTGTCCCTCGCCTGCTGTTCTGGGACAGCGGTGGGTCGGGGACTGGGGGCCCGGCGCCCCGCGCGGGTGTGAGCCCGGGGAGATCAGAAGGAGAGCCTCTTCTGGGAGGATTAGGTTTCCTCCCCTTGTCCCGCGGGGTGGTGGCACTGAGTGGCTTGGGTAATAAGGGGCTCACTCCAGCCCCATTCCCGAATCTCCTCATGGCCTTTGATTTCTCGTCCTTCTATCATGAAAAGCCTCTAAAATGCGTCTGAGATGATAAAGGTCCGAACTGGGCCCTAGGCTGGGTCACTGAGCCTGCCCCGCTCCGGGAAGCCCCAAGCCTCTGGCGTCGTGTGAGGGGCGCCCCCTAGAGTTGAGCGGTGCCTGGATGGTAACCAGCGTTGGCTGAGCGGCTCCGGGCGAATGCTCATCATTCTCCAAAGCATGACTGTCCCCACTTAAAGTGTGAGGGAACTGAACCTTAGCGTAAATAACTTGCCGGGTCATAAAACGTATGAACGGGAAATTCACGGTTGAAACTCAAGTTTATCTGACTCCCAATCACGGTCAAAACCATCACCCCTACTGCTGGTTTCTATTGCTAGCAGAAAATACCTTGAGTCCATGCCTAGAAATGCGTGCATTTCCTATTCAGCTTCTCAATATTTTGGAGAAAAATTTAGATTCCTGAAGGTGGTATAAAATAAAACAGCCCGGCTTAGGGAAGGCCAGGGGACTGAAAGTTGGCGTATCTCAGGGACTGCAGTGCTGGGAAGGGAGAGGAGTCATTTCCCTTCTCTGTTACCAAGGCTCCCGGTTTCCATGGCAACCCTAAATCCGGAGTTACCGGATAATTGAGATACTATTGCACTGTAATGTTTCCAGGCACCTGAGGCTTTTCAGGTGTCACCACTGCATGGGTCAGAGGCAGGGTCTACACAGCTGAAACAACCCAGGTGCAGCGGAGTATTGATATTTCTAGGAGACTGATTTGATTCTGATGGCTTCTCAGTTTATATTCAGTCCTGGACCAGAAATCATAGATAGGTCAAGAAGGAGTTTCATAAATGGAATGCAGATCCATAGTAAGTTACCATGGAGATGTGAAGAGTATGCTACTTTTTTTTTCCCCCACTGTAGCATAAAATACTGACTCATCTGTGCTGCAGCTTCAGCTAATAGCGGGATTTTTCCCCCAGGCTACTCGCTCAGCCCTTGATACTGTCCGAGAAGCTTGATGCCTACAGCTATCCTGTTAAGTTCAGCCACCCCAAGTGGGACTGCCTTTTCTGTAGCACCTGCTGCCATGACCGCGGGCATTTGGTCCAGGCTCAGAGGCTCCCTGAGTCTTTTGACGTCCATGGATTCTTTGGGAAGCCATCTTCCTTCCTGGAGGGGCTGGTGCAGGCTGGGGGCTTGGAGGGGAGCTCTGTTCAGGCTGGGCAGTGTTCCAACATATCTGAGCAGTAAGATGTCAAAAGAGAAGTATGGGAGACAATCCGTCCCTGACAATGATTTTTCCTTCTGCTCTGACTTGTGAAGTCTGGGGCCAGTTCTCTCCTCTACAGAAGAAAAGGTGATTATAGAACCTATGTCATCGGGCTGTGATGAGCATTCTCCATAAAGCCGAATGTGTAAAGAATTTATCAGAGCCATGAGTACATGGTAGAGAGAATCTCAAAATGATATAACTATTAAGTTTCTTTTCCTAAGCTCTTCCCTTTTCGTTTTACGAAAAACCCTTGGGAAAAAATAGCATATACATGAAAAAAGAAATCATCTCTACCCTCTCCGATGTAATGTATGAAGCCCTATTGAAAAAAATCTGGCCAGAGGCACAAATGGTGGAGCTGAAAGAGGTGTGGAAGGCTGGGGAGAGGAAGTGGGGTCACGTGCCAGCACCACATCTTGACTCCAACCCAAGCCCCTGTCACTCCTCGCTTTCCCTTCCGCAGAGCGCTGGGCCCATCCACATACCTCCGTGCCCTGGGTTCTATGCCATGGCTGATCCCCTTCTACACTTGGACAGTCATGTGCACATAATAAAATGGCTTATCCTAGCTCTGGGGGGACAGGGTTCCCAACATTTTTTTTAACCTTCCTGTTATTAGTCGGTTTCCTAGTTACTCAGCAGAACTAAAACCTGGCTGGCTGAAGCCTGTGATTATTCACCTATTACGGCTTGATTCACAGGGAACACCGAGCTTTACAGTAAATTAAACCCTAATAAAAGTACGGGCCCTTGTGCTTCAAGATCAAAAGTCAAACGTGTTAGAAGGAAATGAAAAGTCAGAAGGCACGCGGGGCGAAATGATCAGATGCATTATGTCAAACTGAGTTGAAAAACAGTCTTAACTCTTTCCCTTAAGAAAGGGGGAAGCTCATAGAAGAGAAAAGGTATATTACAGTAGAAGATATGTGTTTAAATGCTAAATGTCTAGAGACTAAAATGCAGATAAGAGTTCTTTAGAATCTAGACATAATTATTAAAAATGATAAGCTTACCAAGTCATTCTGTAAAAAAAAAAACAACCCCAAAACCAAAAATGCTTCCTTAGAAACACGTCTGTATTTACCTTGAAATCCGAATTGGTGGTCAACATACAGTACGTGCTGGTTTCCACTTGTAAGCTAAACAGACGTCATTTGGTCTGCAGTGTATCATTTATTCATTCAGCAAACACAGTGTCAGCTGCTGAGCAGACAAAGGCCAGTGAGGCTTAGTCCCCGCCCTTGAAGAAGTACAACTGAGTCCACAATACGGTGAAAATCACACACACGACTTTGGAAATCCTGGGGGTGGGGTGGGGAGGGGAAATGCACTCAGAGATAGAAATCACTGAATTCGTGCACATTCTGGCACCTGCCTTTCCTCTGCTGACCATTTATCCTGCAGTCACCTGGTGGGTGGTGCCTGGCAGCACCAGTTAACCCACTGATGCATGTTGGGGTCAAGGAGAGGATGAAGTTAAGCTCTATCACACCCACGTACCCCCACCTCTGTATGTGTACACCACATACATATTATCCAAGTGGCCCTCCATTCTTGCCCATTTTCAGGCTGGCACAGGTACCAGGAATCCCCGGCAACCTGGGGTCCTCTAGCAGCCTCCCAGCTTCCCGACAGGGTGGTCCCAAACTATGTAAGAGCAAGCAGTATCTATCTTCTTTGTGAAGATTTTTTTGGAATAGCAAGCCTGGGACTATCCTGGAGATCAGCAGCTTTTCCTGATGGCCCATTATAATTTCTTCTGCTATTGGCAGCCTCATTTGTCCTTCGGGTTCCCTGTGGGTACGAAGGCATTAAAAACATGGTAGAGCCTATGATCTTAACCTCTGAAGGGTAGCTTGTAGGGACTCCCTGGGTCAAATCCCAGCTTACTCTTTCACCAGGCATCCACTGTGGTCCTGGGAAAGTTACTTAAGCTCTCTGAGCTTCAGTTTCCTTCTCTGTCAAGTTTGATTAATAGCGGTGCTAAGATTTCTCCCAGGCTGCCTGAGGATGAAATGAGTTAGTGTTTCTTATGTACTTAGAAGGATGCCGGGCACACAGTTAAGTCCAAGTGTGTTGATAAACAAGCAGCAGTTTCTTGGACCCTGGAGAGCTTGGTCCCACCATCCCTTCCAGCATCTCTGATGGCTACCTTGCTCTTCATTCTGAGCAGAACTTTGGTTCACAACAAGGAATAAGATCAAGACCAGTGCCATCAAAAGGAGCCCATGGTTCCCTTCACCATAATTCTCTTGTCTTCGGTGGTGAAATGAAACACTGGATTTTACAACTGGAAAAAACTTTAGAGATCTTATAAGTGAGACGGGCTCCTGTTTTTATAAGGAAACTGAGGCCCAAGGAGGATCAATTCCTTGCCCACTGTCATGGGGCTATTTCTTGGCAGCGCTGGGGCTGGGGCTATTTCCAGGCCCACCTCCCCTACTGCCTCCCTTATAAGGCAGTACTCTTTGCGTATACAAACCACCTTCAGAATCCACCGTGATATTAAACTGCATGATGACATGCTTTAGGCAAGTCTGGACAACAAAAATAGCAAGAGGGACCCTTTGTATTCTATAAAATTGATAATCCCTAAATAAATGCGTCTGAAGTGTGAGTCAGACCTGCACAGATATATGATTTTGTAGCTGTGTGTGTTTTTTTCTGAATCACAAAATGATTCCCACAGTATACACTGAACTGGATAATGCTCAGAGCATCAGCTTGACTTGCAAACTGGAACACTGAACCACTGGTCTTCGCACAAGCAAAGAGTTAGTCATCATTATGCCAGTCAGCCTAGCAAATGATTAAGGAAGGTTAATTGACATGCCACTTTGGTGACAAACTGAAACCCAGATTAACATTTTAAAGCTAAATACTGTAATACGCTTCCGCGGGCATGGGAATAAATCACTAAGACATTGGGATATTTATGTGATGTCCATTCTTTTGAGGAATGGCAAGATTTTCCCCCACTTCTTTGCACTTGGGAATTGTGGTATCTATGTCTATTTCAGACCCACTGAGCTATTAGTACCTCTTGTTTGTAGCTGGTGTGGAAATCACACCTCCTAATGTACTTTCCTCCAAGCAAATGGAGTTGGCATTTACCTCTAAATGCCAAACTTCACCACTGCACTTGAACCTGCACTTCAGTTCGGGTTGAAGATGAGGAGGAACACCAACCCTCCACTCTTAGGTGTCAAGGGGGAGAATCATCAGCACCCGTCTTTTGGAAGAGTCTCACAGAA